ATGGCCTCTGGCTCTCGCGGTCAGTGTGAGCCCAGCCCTTGTCCTCATGCTGGGGTCCATGGGGCAGGTCCTCTGATCTGGGGCACCAGAGAAGGAAGACACTCAGCTCTGCCCTTGGGGCACCCTCGGTCCAGGAGACGGGCGGGAGGTACCCAGGCCTGGGCTCCCGAGAACCTTGCAGGAGGGTGGGGGTCTCGTCAGCGCAAACGGACAAAGCTCTCTTAGAATTTTATTCTATTAAATCTGTGTGTCTGTCATCTCTCCACCTGTCCGTCCACCCGTGTACCTGCCCACCCACCGTCTGTCCCCACCCGTCTCTGTCCATCTGTGTATCTACCGCCCATCCCTGCCCCGACCACGTCCCCGCCCATCGCTCTCTCTGACTCTGTCGAGCCACCTATGTGTACTTCTGGGCCGCATCCAGTTTCCGGCTACAGGACTTTCCTGCCCCCTTGCCACGACTCCACAGGGGTCTGGGCCATGTGGGGAGAATACAGGGCCTGTTCCTGCCTGGCTCCCTTTTGAGCAATTTTAAGGGAAAAGGGAAGGTGCTCCCGGAGGCCCGGGAGGGCAGCTGCTGGGACCCTCGCGGGCCCGGAGGTGGCATTTAGGGCGGGGTTTCTCCCATCAAGAGGTACAGAGCGTCGCGACCGAGGACATTCCGGGAGGCTCCAGACCATCTCCCGCGTTTAGTCCGAGCGAGGCCGCGTGGCTCCGACGCCACGGGGACGTGTCTGGATGTGTGCGAGTTTCCGGCAGGTCGCCCCGGGCGGAGCGGACGGAGAGGGTGTGCTGGGGACAAAGACGGAGCCGCTGGTCTGAGGTCGGGTCCTGGCCCTGTGAGCTCGGTCGCCGTTAGAGCAGAGCCTGGCCAGGCGCTCGGGATGGCCGTACCGCGGGCGTCTCCTTCACTGGACCGGTGTGGGGCCGGTCTCCTGAGAGCACGCGTGTGCACCCGCGTGTGTGCGTGTGAGTGCGTGTGTGCGTGTGAGTGCGTGTGTGCGTGCGTGTGCGCGTGAGAGCCGGGCGGGGCTGTGGCGTGGCCTCGTCCTGTGTTCAGCCCCCACACCTGCTCCCTTGATGTTCTTTTCAGACCAAACCCTCCAGGTCTGGAATTGGCGTCGCACCTGCCAGGTCCTGGGAGTTGTGCCCTGGGCGGGAGGCGAGCTGCCACGGTCTGACCCCCTCAGCCTGCACTCTGGCCTCACTCAGGTCCCTCCGTGGTCCATGTCCACGTCTGTCCGAGTCCTCATCCAAGTCTGCGTCGGCGTCCAATCCGTGTCCACGTCCGTGTGGCATTGGTGCATGGGGCTTGGGGCATGGCCCTGAGCGATGGCACCAGCTGCCTGCGTCCTCCTAGTGGGACTTTGGTAGCTCCTGAATCTTTTTTTCTGACTCTCGGCCACATGGTTTGTCCTTTCTGCAAAGGGCTGCTCCCGTGCTCCCTTGTCCTGGGCCCTGAGCACTCTTCGTAAATGAGGCAGCCTGTCTTCGGGTGTGCTGACATGGTCTCCCCGTCCCCAGTGCACTGGGCAGACACCCTACGGGAAGGCGCTTCCAGGCAGGGAAACCAGCTCTTCATTCTCATGCCCAGCACTGTGCCCGGCTGGTGGGCGTCCCTCCAGCCTTGGCTCCTGGGCTCCAGACTGCTCGGGTTTCTTCTGGAGGACGGCGGTGGCCAGTCCCGGCGGCTCTGGCTTGCGTGTCTTGCTCAGCTCATGGGGACCTCCAGGCGGGATGGCGGGTTGAGGGCCAAGGACTGGCCCATGTGTGTGTGCTCAGTGGGTGGACAGATGCGGGGACGGGGGCACCGGTGGTCCCTGGAGGCTGATGGTGGTCCAGACTTTGGTGTGTGTGTGCAGCTGTGTTTCTGCGCCCTCCTGCACTGACCCCGGAAGAAGCTGCTTCGGGTTTGCCCAGGGGATGCTGTGGATTTTACATCAGCAAGGGAAGGGGCAGGGAGTCTTGGCTGGAGATGAGCAGAGCAGGTGTGACCGGACTGAGCTCAGTGTCTCAGGGGGTGTTGAAGGGACGCTAGCAGTGGGCAGCCGGCTGCTCACCGGGGGCTTCTGGCCCTGAACTGGCCCCTGCTCCCTTCCCTCTGGCCCCTTGGCCACACCCTCGGGGGCTGCCTCCCACCCCCTTAGGTCAGGAGACGCCTCTCCCAAGGCACACTCAGGTGGCGTGGGATGTGTAAGAAGGAACTTTACTGTGAAACTCAAAAGGGAGGCAACGGGGTTGCCAAGGTGGAGTGAGAGGCGAGGGGAGGCCTGGGTGGACGGGTTGGGAGTTGCTGGCTGAGGCGGGACCCGTGGGGAGCTCCTGGAGCTGGGAGAGCCCTCCTGCCCCCCCGGAGTCCTGCACGCAGCCCTTAGCAGGCCCGCGGCTTCTCCCCCGGAGCTCTTCTCTGTCGGGCAGGATGCCAGGGGCTGCCAGTGGCCAGTGGGAAGGCTGGGCAGGGGCTGGGGCTGGGCACAGGGGTGGGCATGGGGACCCGGTGCCAGGGAGGTGGGCCTGAGTCTGGGAGCCGAGGTCGTGCCCTGGACTTGGACTCTGCATCCCGGGTTCGGGTCTAGACGCTGCATGGCGAGTGGGCTGCGGGCTTTACGCTCCTTGAGCTCTGGGGGCTTCTCCGTGAGAACAGGAGCAGCCCTGACCCCAGGACCAGGGAGGAGCCCAGGGCTCCGCACCCAGGCCCAGCTCAGGTCACTCTGTGGGAGGGGCTTGTGTCAGGGGCCTGGCGTCGGGCTGTGGTTGGTCCCCTAGGTGCCTCGGACCTTGGAGCCCAGCTGGAAGTTTCTGGATGTCTGCGTGCTGGCCTTGCGCGTCTGGCTCTGGCCGCTCTGGGGGCGTGCGTGCTCTCGTCCTCCCGCTGCCAGCAAGCAGACCGCCTCCAGCCCGGGGAGGGAAAGCGCGGCCTCGCTGCGCTGCGTGGGCCTAGTCGGCCGGCCGCGCGACGTTGGCGTAGTCTCGGACGGCCTGTGGCTTCTCCTGCAGGACGGCGGCCAGGACCCACTTCACCTGGGGGAGGGCACGCGTGAGGACGGCTCTGCCGGGAGCGCTCCCTCCCCGGGCCTCCCGCGCCCGGGCTGGGGGGCCCCGGGCTCCCACCTTGAGCAGGGTGACGGCGGCACCGTAGCTGACGCAGAGCAGGAAGAGGGTGACGAAGGCGAGCAGGCTGGCCCACAGCTCGTCCAGCTCCGCGCTCTCGGCGGACTCCGCACACAGCTCCTGGAGCTCCAGCTCTGCAGGCACGGGCCAGTCAGCCCTCCCTGGTCCAGCCTCAGCATGGGCCGGTGGGGGACGGCAGGCTTGGCCCCCCGCCCCGAGGAGGGGAGACAGCAGTGACGCCCTGGCCTCGTCCAGACCGCTCGGAGCTGCCCCTGGAGGCCCCATGGCTTTGCAGGTGTGGGGCGACCTGCCCTCTCCCGGTCCACATCCCCAGCCCTGGCCCAGGCACCCAGCAGCTCTGCTGTCCCTGCATGGCCTGTGGACCCCCTGCCTGGCCTCCCAGCCCCATCCCCACTCAGTTTTACTCGTGGCAGCCTGAGGACCTCAGCAGCTGAGCTCGCAGGACCCGGGGTGGCCCCGGGAATCCATGCTGTGGGTGCTCAGAGGGGCTGGCCAGGCCATGTGCACCTTGCTGAGGCCCGAGGTGCCTGGAGCTGCCCCCTGGCCCTGTCCCGGGGCCACTGCTGTCCCCTGGCTCCTCCTGCCATGGTCCCATTTTCCCTGCACAGTGGGCCTCCATTCTGGAGAGTGATGGCCTCTGCATGGTCCGGGGCTCCCATATGGGGTGAAGGAGCCCAGTGCCTCCCGCCTTGTGTCTTCCGAACGCGGGTCAGGTGTGTGCCGCTCTTCAGACAGATGTGGTGCGCGCACGTGTGCCTGTGTGCGAGCGCAGGGGGGGACGTCGGGTCTGGGGCTGCGTGAGGCCTGCACACAGGTTTGGTGAATGACGGGGCTGGGCTTGGACCCCGGCTCTGACCCCTTCATCCTCCCGCCCTGGGATGGGGCCTGCAGCCTGTCCTGGGGTGCGGGTCGGTGGGAGAGGAGACGGAGTCCACACTCCAACCTTTGGCCTGTGTGAATCCGTTCGTCCACTGGCTGAGAGGGGACTGGGGGGCCGGGGCCATGGAGGAGGGTCCCCGGTGGAGGAGGAAGCCCTCTCCATGGCTGTCTTGGGTCTACTGGCCCACGTGTGACAGGGAGGAAGGGCGAGGGAGGGGCCTGGGCGAGGAGCAGGCCGTGGGGGCCACGTGCAAGCTCCCGGGTGCTCGCTGCGGGTGGTGATGGTGGAGCTGCCCTGGGACTTGCTGCAGCTGAAGGCGGCTGGGGTGGGTGTGACCTCGCGTGAGGCTGGGGGCCTCCCCGGGGCAGTCCGGGTGGCGTGAGGCTGAGCATGACGGGGTACAGGTGCTGACCCCTGCCTGGCTGACCACACAGGCAGGGCAGGAGCGGTTAGAGGGGAGTTGTGGGAAGAGGCTTGGCTCAGGCCCCAGTGTGGGGTCGGGGGTCTGCCAGGTCCGCGTGTATGAGGGAGGTGACAGCCAGGGGACGGGTGGGGGCTGTCTGGGGTTTTCGCCTGTGGGTACCAGTGTCGGGGTCTGACTCGGCCCATTTCTGCACTCAGAGGGCCTGTGTGTGCAGCTGGACATGGTGAGAGGGCTTGTCTGTGTCCAGAGGGCTGACCAGAGACTGAGGAGGGGGCGGTTGGAGGCGGAGAGCTCTGGGTCCTCCAGGAGAGGGAGGGGCCGCGGGCTCGCTGGGGTGTGGGGTCCCTCCCCAGGGCCTCCCAGCTCTTCGGGCTCCCCTGAGAGGGCACGACCACCAGCGGGGTGGCAGGGAGGGCCCCGTGACTTGGATGGTGACGGTGGGCCGAGCCAGCCCGCAGCCCTGCCACACCCCTCCCGTCCCCTGTCCCGGGGCCCCTTCCTCTGTGCCGAGACCTCCCTGCTTGCAGCCCTGCCCGCCCCCAAGAACGGGTGTGCTCAGGGCTCTGAGCGGACACTGCGGTGTTTATTGACAAGGAGGGAGGGAGGGTCTGGCCGGCCCCCTCCCCTGTCCCGGCCGCAGGCGCCTGGGGCGTGGGGAGGCCGGCGGGGGAGGGCGCATCATTTACCCGGGGTTTTGGAGACCGTTTTCTTGATGACTCGCGACTCGGGCAGGGCCTCGTGTACCACTTGGCAGGCGAAGCTGTTCCGCTCCTCCCAGTCCCCCCGGCTGACCTCCAGGCGGCTGAAGACGAAGAAGGCGCGCCTGGCGCCCGGGACCGCGTGGGGCCGCGTGGTGGCCTGCTGGCCCGGCTGGACGGGCCTGTCATTTCGAAGCCATTGCACTGAGATGTCCGCGGGAAAGAAGTTCTGGACCAGGCACGTGAGGGTGGCCCTGTCCGTGGTCCCCTTGTCCTCCTCCGGGGGCAGGAACACGTAGACCTCCGGGGCCGCTCGCTGGCCTGCGGGCAGGTGCAGGGTCAGCCCAGGCTCCCGGGGGCGAGGCCCGCCCCCTCCCCTGGGCCTGGGGCTCACCGGGGGTCTTGGCAATGGAGCGCACGATTCTCTTGGGCAGGTCCGGGTGGTTCACCGTGCAGTGGTAGGTCTCGCCCTCGATCCAGTCCTGTGTGTCCACTGGCAGGCTGGACGTGACGCTGACCGTCCCGTTGAACTGAGTTTCCTCCTTCTGTCCGTCTGGGTGCACGGGTTCCCCGCTCTCCCGGGACCAGGTCAGGCTCATGCCCTCCGTGCTGGCCAGGTCCACCACCAGGCAGGTGATCTTGGGCGACTTGTGGACGTACAGGTCCAGAGGGCTGGGCGGGCTCAGGTAGCTGCTCACGCCGCGGGGGTCGGACTCTGCCACGCGAGGGAGGGGCTGCGTGAGGGCGGCCGCGGCCCTCCCGCCGTAGCCCCGCGGGTCTGGGTGTCGGCGGGCGGGGCGCCCGTACCTGTGCACTTGAGCGCATGGTCCTCAAAGTTGAAGCCTTGGTAGCTGACCCGGCAGGTGTAGGTTTTCTGGGACACCCACTCGCCCTGGGTGATGTTGAGCTCGCTGTGGGTGGAGGTCACGTTGCCCTCCTGTGTGCCGGGCGCAGTGTAGGAGAACGTGTTTGTGACCCTCTGCCCGTCCACCAGCCAGATGACCTCCATGTCCCCCGGGACGTAGCCGGAGATGAGACACAGGAGCTGGATGGTGGTGTGGGTGTCGCCCAGCGGGTTGCAGGAGGAGTGGAAGAGCTTCACGGAGGGCGGGCTGAAGTTCATGGCACAGGCTGGGGGTGCAGAGGCGGCGTGGCGTTGGCCTCCCCGCGCCCACGGATCTCGCCTGCCGGCCCGGCCCCACGCGCACCCGGCAGGACCAGGCAGGGTGGCGTGGGAGCCCACCCACCGCTCCCCCCCGCCCGTCCCTCCTACCCCAGCGCCCGGCTCACCTCTGAAGGTCTTGTTGATGGCGGGGGATGCCGCGAGAGCCACGCTGCAGGTGAACGTGTGTTTGGCCCACTCGCCCCAGGAGGTCACCTGGCTGATGGCGTTGTGGAGGCCGGAGGTCTGGTCGAAGGTGGCGGGGACGGTGGCGACACTCTTGTTTAGGGACCCCGTGTCCCAGGTCACGGTCACCGGCATCGGGAGGTAGCCCGTGACGAGGCAGCCCAGACTCACCGCGGTGGCACCGGCCATGCCTTTGCAGCAGGGGGTCAGGGGGAACACGGACAGGCCCTGGCTGGTGGCTGCGAGACGGGGCTGGCGTCAGCTCCGACCTGGGCACCCCCGTCGCGGGCCGGGCCCACTGCTGACCCGGGGCCTCCCGCTCCCAGGCCCCTGGGGGAGGGGTCTGAGAAAGAGATGTGTGGGGCAGACACGGGGGGCTCTCATTCCCTCCTCCAGCCTTGCGGGACAGATGCTCATTTGGGCTCTCATTCCCTGATTCTGTTGGAAACACCCTCTGAGGAGCTGTTGTGCTCCTGTCGGAAGCAGTGGCTGCCCTCAGCCCTGAAGGGCAGGAATGTGGGGTTCTTGGGGCATACGGGTGTGTGACCCCTCTGCCCCTGGCCAGCCAGGCCTCTCTGGTCCCTACCGTCCCTGTGGAGCTTCCAGGGACCCTGACCAGGGACCCCATTCATAGGGGAGAAGACCCCAGAGCAGTCCTCCCCCCGTCGGTGACCTGGGTTTGCCTGCGCTCCCCTGGCCCCGGAGCCCAGACCCCAGCCCACGCTGGCCCTGACTCTCAGCTCTCCTCTGCCCTCCTGTCCAGGGAGACCAGTCCCGTGGCCTTGTGTGGGCACCTCTGAGGCCAGAGGGACAAACTGGCACCACGTCCAGCCTCACTAGCTTGGCCCAGGTCCGATGAGCCAAGGTCTAGGGGCCCACCTTGGTCTAGCCTGGCCCAGGTCAGCCCAGGGTATTCCATTTTAAGCCAGACAACTCACTGGGCTTCAACCAAGTTCATTCAGCTCAGCTCAGCCTGCTGGCCGGGCTCGTCCCCTGCTTGGCTGCGATCACGAGAATTCCACGACCCCAGCCACTGGGCCTACAACAGGCTTCGTGACTCAGGGAGCCTGATTCGGCCAGGCCAGGCCCACCGATGGAACCCCAGTGAGCCCAGCCCAGCCCAGCCCAGCCCAGCCCAGCCCAGATCAGCCCAGCCCAGCCCAGCCCAGCCCAGCGCAGCCCAGCCCAGCCCAGCCCAGCCCAGCGCAGCCCAGCCCAGCCCAGATCAGCCCAGCTCTGCTCAATCTGGCCCACGTCAGCCCAGTGCAGAGCAGCTCAGCTCGGCCCAGCCCGGATCAGCCCAGTGCTGCCCATTTCAGCCCAGCTCAACTCAATGTAGCCCAGGTCAGCCCTCCTCAGCCCAGCTCTGCTTGGCACAACCAAATCCAATTCGGCTTGGTTTAGCCCAGCCCAGCCCGGTTCAGCTCAGCCTTCCTTAGCCCAGCTCAGTCCCACCCAGTGCAGCTCAACTCGGCTCAACCTAGACCATCTGAGCTCGGCCCAGCGCGGCCCACGTCAGCCCAGCGCGGCCCAGCTCGGCCCAGCCCAGCCCAGCGCGGCCCAGCCCGGCGCGGCCGCGGCAGCCCTGCCCACATCAAACAGGCTCAACTCCTTCAGCCCCTTTGTCTCCCAGGCTCGTCTCGCTGGTCCCTGCTCAGGGGCCCAGGATTGTCCGACCCGGCTCAGCTCCACCATGGTACGTGTGCCACAGCTTAGCTTGGCCTGGCTCAGCCGGGAGAGCCAAGGGGAGCCGACCCAGGACTGGCCTCCCCGGCTGCCTCTGATCCGCCCCATTAGACCGCCCCGCCCACGCTCGGACCATGCCGGTCAGCCCGGCCCAGGACGGCCCCTGCCAAGGTGGACTTTTCACCTGACCCGGCTCTCCCTGGCTCCGTCCACCCAGCTCAGCTCAGGTCACGTGGCTCAGGAGCGCCCGGCTCAGCCACGAGCACCCAGGCTGCGGAAGCCTGTCCTACGCGAGGGCCCCGTGGCCCACCCTGCCCTGGCCAGCAAGCGCACCCCAGCTTCACTCACCCCAGCTTCCCTCAGCCCACTTGGTCCTGTAAAATCAGCCCAGCCTGGCCCTCCTTGTCGACGTTGCCTCATGCTACCCTGTTCACACACCTGAGGATGTGGCCGGTGCCGCCTGCCATCCAGTCCAGCACAGGGGCGGCTCGCGGGTGCTTTCCCCTGACCCTGGGCTGCGGTCACTGCCTTGCTTGGCCGCAAACAGATCCATGCTCAGGGCCCTGTCCGCGCCCTCTGTGCAGTCCTCCACCCTCTCGGCCTTGGGCGCTGGCCTAGCCCTGTCGTGTCTGAGGTTCTCGGCCCTTGTCTTCCGCGAGTCAGTGTTGGGCATTCTCTTGCTCCCCTGTGTGCCTGTGCAGGGAACAGACACCTGGGAGACGAACGGTGACCAGGAGGCGCTGTCCCTGCTGGCTGGGCAGTGGTCCGTGCAGCCCGCCCCTGCTGTAGCCGGGGCCAGCCCCGTGGCTGCGGTACCCCAGGGGCCTCCATCAGGAGCCCGTCCTGGCTGTCCACAGCTCTCGGGGACAGGCTCCCGGACGGCTGAGGTGAACCGTCAGTAACCATGGCTGATATTTTTGCGTCCAGATACTCGGCCCTGGGGGAGGGGAGCTCTGCCTCAGTGCCCTGGCTAAAAACGGGGTGGGAACCCCCGGGGGCCTCTGCAGACCTGGAAATTCCCCTTTCTCTGTGTGTTCTTGGGAAGTGTGTCAGCAACGTTGGAGTCCAGGTGAGCCCCTGTGCCGTGGACGCAGTGGGCTCCTCTCTGTGGCCTCTCGTGTGCTCCCTCCCCCGACGCCACAGCTGACTCGCTGTGCCGCACACACCGTGGTGGTCACCGGGATGCCCCAGGAAGGGAGGGGGCGCCGGCCGCCATCACCGCTGTCCCCGACGCAGCCCTGCGAGGAAAGGGTCGTGGCTGCTTTGGGCACGAGAAGCCGCAGCCTGCGTGGCCACGTGCCTGAGACGTGGATGCCGGGGTCCTCGTGGCACGTTCCCTTGTTCCCAGTGTCCCACTGCCTGGAGGAGTGCCCTGGGGTGAGTGTGCGGGGCCGAGAGCGCCCCGGCCCGCCCTGGGCGTCCTGAGGGCAGGGGGCCTCCCGCACCGTCCTCACACCCCTTCCTGAGCCCGTGTCCTGCCGCTGGGTCTCTTCCTGGGGCTGCAGTTGGGGGTGTGTCCAGGGAGGGCCGGCGGGGACTGTGGGCAGGCTGGGCCCACCGTGCGGTTGGCCGGCGGCCCCGGAAGACGGCTGTGTCTGGTGCAGCTGGGGTGGACTGTGTCATGGATCTGTGGGTGTCACCACGGCTGTGGGGACCACGGAGTGGCATCGGATGCTGGTCCTTTGGGGCAGCGTGCACTGTTGACGCACCAGCGACGTGTGTGCAGCTGTGGTGCTCTGGGCTGGGCCTCACCCTCTCACTGCGGGCATGTCCTGCAGGCCTGTGTGTCCCGGAACCCCAGGAAAGGCTGAGCGTCCACTCGGGGAGGCCGCGATGGGGGGCCCTCCCAGCGTGTGCTGCCGCCGGCCCCGCTCCCCGCGTGCACTCCTGCGAGGCCTCGTGTGGCCGTCTGGAGCGGGAGACACCAGGGACCCACCCTCTGGGCCCAGCAGCCGAGGGCCAGCACTGCCCGTGCGGGGAGGCTGTGTGGAGGTCGCCTCTGTCAGGTGTGGTGCCCCCGGGGGGACACTCGGGCTCATTTAGAAGATGGGAGATGCCGCAGCGTGGTTGGGCCAGACAGGCCTGGACGGGAGGCCTGGGGCAGACAGGGCCCAGCCCGACCTCCCTGCTCCCCCAGGGCAGCCTGTCCCAGCCTGTCCTGCCCCACCCTTGGCGCTGGGTCAGGTGCTGCGTGGGAGGCGGAGGGCAAGCGCCCGGTTCCTTGGAAGGGCCCACGGTTCTGAGAGAAACCACAGGGCAGGCAGAGCCCCACCCTGCAGCCTGCTGCCCCCGCGGGCCCAGGCCAGGTGTGGCCAGTCCGTGCAGCCTGCACACAGGGGAGCGTGCCGGGCCTGGGCTCCACGGCAGCCCTGGCCCACCCTGGCGACCCCCTTCTCATTCTTCCCCGGCTGGGGGGCTGGGGCCGCCGTGCCCAGCCGGTCTCTGGGCTCTGTGCCGAAGACACAGGATGAACCGTGTGGAGGCTGCTGCTGGCCCTGTCGGCAGCCCAGCCGCCCTTGGAGTCCTGCGGTCTTGGAGGACAATGATCTCATCTCCTCCTGGGTCCCACCGGGGCAGCTGAGCTCTGAGCTCACGTGTCCGTGCTGACCCCGCTCTGCTCCTCTCTGGGGCTGTGGCCCTGCCCTGCCTCCAGCATCACCCTGGCTCGTCCCCCTTGTGTCCAAGAGCAGGGACCTGGGACCTGGCTGCCCCACCCAGCAGTCACTGTGCCCTCAGCCTCTGAGGCTCTGGCGTCACACCTTCCTGCCTGTAGAGGTGCCGAGCGTGGCCCCACGAAGCTGCTCCTGTATTCACTGGCCTGGGGCAGGTCTGCACCGAGACGTGCTGCTTCTCAGCTGTGCCCGCGTGTGCGTGGGAGCCCGCGTGTGCGTGGGAGCCCGCGTGTGCATGGGAGCCCGTGTGTGCGTGGGAGCCTCTGTCTGTGTGTCAGCAGCTGGAGCCTCTGTTCTTGGGCCTCCTGGCTGGTGTTCCCGTTGGGTCCTTCTTAGTTTCCTCCACAGGTGCCCAGTCAAGGGATCAGCTAAGGGTTTGAGGAGAGCTTACATGCAGATTTTGGGGTTCACCCTCGGTGGCTCCCTCCCCCTAATTCCCAGCTATTAAGTGTGGTCCCGAGCCCTCTGCCCTGCCCTGCACCCGGGACAGCAGCGGTTTCTGTCCGTCTTCTGGCGGCACCTGCCACAGCACTGGACTTGGTCCTCACGCGGATCTTTCGAGGGAGTGAGTGTCTCCCGTGTCTGCTCGTGGCTGGTGTTTCTCCGCAGTCTCCTGATCTCCACCGGCTGAGTGCTGCTTCTGCTTCCTACTTGCTGCCTTTGAAGTTTGCTCTGGTACTAGCTGCTGTGCTGCTGTGGGAAGGAGAACCACTTTCTCTCCTGTGGTTTCTCAGAAATGATCACTTTCCGTGTAACTGGAGAGGCCCAACATCCTTCCCACATTTACAATTTTTTTTAATTTTTAAAATTTCTTTTCAGTGTTTCAGCATTCATTGTTTTTGCACCGCACCCAGTGCTCCATGCAATCTGTGCCCTCTCCAATGCCTACCACCTGGTTCCCCCAACCTCCCACCCCCGCCCCTTCAAAACCCTCAGGTTGTTTTTCAGAGTCCATAGTCTCTCATGATTCATCTCCCCTTCCAATTTCCCTGAACTCCCTTCTCCTCTCCATCTCCCCTTGTCCTCCATGCTATCTGTTATGCTCCACAAATAAGTGAAACCATATGATAACTGACTCTCTCTGCTTGACTTATTTCACTCAGCATAATCTCCTCCAGTCCCGTCCATGTTGCTACAAAAGTTGGGTGTTCATCCTTTCTGATGGAGGCATCATACTCCATAGTGTATATGGACCGCATCTTCCTTATCCATTCATCTGTTGAAGGGCATCTTGGTTCTTTCCACAGTTTGGCGACCGTGGCTGTTGCTGCTATGAACATTGGGGTACAGATGGCCCTTCTTTTCCCTACATCTGTATCTTTGGGGTAAATACCCAGTAGTGCAATGGCAGGGCCATAGGGAAGCTCTGTTTTTAATTTCTTGAGGAATCTCCACACCGTTCTCCAAAGAGGCTGCACCTTCCCACATGTTTAACGGTGACTGGGATCTGTTGTGAAACATCTGTTCCGTGCCCGTGTCCATTCTCTCAAACTGTGTGATTGTTTCCAGTTGACTCTCAGGAGGGCTCTACGAGTTCCGCATACTCTGTCAGCTGCAAATGCTTTCAGGAAATTCTGTGCCAAAGTCTGAATGGACCCAAAGATGACTTCTTATGTATTCAGTGGAAATAAAGCCATTGTCTCGTGTGGGTGGGCTGATTCGGTGGGGGCTCGGAGCTTTGCATGGTCTTGGAGCTCTCCTACAGTCCGGGAGCTGTAGGCAATGGACGGCAATGCAGATTCTCTTCTCTGGAAGGACAGTCCACTCCTGCCTCCCCGGGAATAAACCTGTCACATTAGAAAATGCAACTATGTATCAATGTTTCTTAGCATTCTTGATTCAACTATAGAAATGAGATACTTTGATTCTACTGAATCCATGAGTTTAATAAAGATTTGAAAGACATTTTCTATGTGTCCATATGGGAGTCAGGATCACACCATGTTTTGGACACTGTCCTGTAACGTGGCACGCCTGTCTTCTCCCAGATGGCCCCAGTTCTCTTGGGCCACGAGGTTCTGTGGCCGGGGGGGCAGGGGACCAGGTGCAGAGGCGCGGGCCCAGGGCAGTCACACCACTTCCTCGGGGGGCTGTGCCATGGGGTGCACCCCTAGGAAAGCGTCCTTTGACCCCGCAGATTGGGTTCTTCTGCTAGGGAACCTTAGGGGCCCAGATGATCTCCACTCACAGCACTTGTCACGATGGTCCTTACTTGTCGGTAAATGATTTCCTAATATCTGCCTTTGCCCAGGTCTGTCAGTCCCAGAAAGCACACCTGCCCCACCGAGTACAGTGTGCTCGCTGCTGGTACCGCTGGCACAGCGGACCTCTGCTAAGTCCTTATTCCACAGATAAAAGGATGGCATCTCCAGAGCCTTCCCAGGGCTTCTGTCCTCTCCCAATGACCCTGAGCTGCAGGAACCTACTCCTGTGACTGTCGCCTCCTATGACTGTCCCCTCCTGTGACTGTCCCCTCCTGTGACTGTCCCCAAAGGCAGGGGTCGGATCAGGAGGTTGTTCTACGTCCCCCCCAAGACGTAGTGTGGACAGTGCATGAGCGCTGGGGTCAGAAGACATGGTGCAAACCCTGGCACCCTCCCCGCAGGCAGTGGCTGAGGCTCTCCGAGGCTGCAGTTTCTTCCAGGTAAGAGACAGTGACAGTGGCCCCACCTCTCGCATTGTGAGCACGGAGCGAGAGGAGGTCCGAGTGACCGTCAGTCTCCCACGCTCACCAGCCAGGCTATTCAAGCAGACAGCATCCTACCTGTGCAGGGAAATCAGTGCACTTCAGGGAGAGGACATGGTCCTCCATAATGTGGGTGGGCCTCATCCAAGCAGTCGAGGGACTGAAGAACAAAGCCCGAGGTTTCCTGGAGAAGAAGGAGTTCTGCCCCAAGACTGCAGTGTTAGCTCCTACCTGAGATTCCAGGCTGCTGGGCGGCCCTGCAGGTTCCCGATGTGCTGGTCGATGCCCACAGGCAATGAGCCAGTTCCCGGAAAGGAGTCCTCTAGGTCTATGCGTCTGCCTCTAGCTTAGTTCAGCTGTACTTGTAGGGTTGTGTCTCTGTGTCCTACCTCTCATCTCCTTCCTCCCGGTTCTGTTACTCTGGGTCTCTATCTCTTATAGCCCATCTCTCTCCTCTAGGTCTGTTACTGTGGATTTCTCTCTTACCTGTGTTCCGTCTCCTGTAGGTTTTGTTACTGTGGTCTCTATCTCTTACGTGTCTTCTGTCTCCTCTTGGATCTGTTACTGGGGGTCTGTATCTCTGTCCTGTGTTCTGTTCCTCTAGGTTCTTGACTGTACACCTCTACATCTTGTCTTCTATCTCATCAAGGATGTTACTGTGTTTCTTTATCTGTTTGCTGTCTGTCTCCTGTTTGTGTGTTACTGTAGGTCTTTATCTCTTACCTCCCATCTCTCTTGTCTTGGTTCTGTTACTGTTGGCTTCTATCTCTTCTTTTAATGAATTACAATTTGATTTTTTAAATTATGTTCAGTTAGCCACTGTATAGTAAATCATTAGTTTTTGATGCAGTGTAATGATTCGTTAGTTGTATATAACACCCGTGTCACAGAACGTGCTCTCATTAATACTCACCTTGCTACCCCATTTCCTACCCCTGGCTCCTCTGAAACCCTCATTTTGTTTCCTGAGTCCATAGTGTCTCATGGTCCACCTCCCTCTCTGATTTCTTCCCCTTTGGATTTCCATCCCTTCCCCTGTGGTCCTCCATGTTATTCCTTATGCTCCACATTTGAGTGAAACCATATGACAATTGTTCTTCTCTGATTGACTTATTTCACTTGGCATAATCCCCTCCAGTTCCATCCATGTCAGTGTGAATGGTGGGTGTTCATAGTTTCTGCTGGCTGATTAATACTCCATCGTGTATATGGACCACATCGTCGTTATCCATTCGTCCACTGAAGGGGATCTTGGCTCTTTCCACAGTTTGGCAACCATGGCCATTGCTTCTAGGAACATTGGGGTACAGATGGCTCTTTTCACTACATCTGTATCTTTGGGGTAAATACTCAATAGTGCAATTGCACGGTCATAGGGAAGCTCTATTTTTAATTTCTTAACGAATCTCCACACTGTTCTCCAAAGTGGCTGACCAACTTGCATTCCCAGAAACAGTGTAAGAGCGTTCCCCTTTCTCCACATCCTCTTCAACACTTGTTGTTTCCTTTTTTGTTAATTTTGGCCATTCTAACTGGTGTAAGGTGTTATCTCAATGTGGTTTTGATTTGAATCTCCCTGATGGCTAGTGATGATGAACATCTTTTCATGTGTCTGATAGCCATTTGTATGTCTTCATTGGAGAAGTGTCTGTTCATATCTTCTGCCCATTTTTTTATATGATTTTCTATTTTGTGTGTGTTGAGTTTGAGGAGTTCTTTATAGATCCTGGATATCAACCTTTTGTCTGTACTGTCATTTGCAAATATCTTCTTCCATTTTGTGGGTTGCCTCTTTGTTTTGTTGACTGTTTCCTTTGCTGTGCAGAAGCTTTTGATCTTGATGAAGTCCCAAAAGTTCATCTTCAGTTTTGTTTCCTTTGCCTTTGGAGCCATATCTTGAAAGAAGTTGCTGTGGCTGATATCGAAGAGGTTACTGCCTATGTTCTCCTCTAGGATTCTGATGGATTCCTGTCTCATGTTGAGGTCTTTTATCCATTTTGTGTTTATCTTTGTGTACGGTGTAAGAGAATGGTCGAGTTTCATTCTTCTACATATAGCTGTCCAATATTCCCAGCACCATTTATTGAAGAGACTGTCTTTTTTCCACAGTATATTTTTTCCTGCTTTGTCAAAGATTATTTGCCCATAGAGTTGAGGGTCCATATCTGGGCTCTGTTGCAGTGGTCTATGTGTC